AAAAAAGAACAAAGGTTCTGATTCTTTGGAAAGTGAAGAAATACTCCAACTACTTTTTTTATGTAAGTTCACCTCTCCAAGGCCTAGAAGACTACTACAGACGAGGAGGCTACTTAATTAGTTATAACTCTCTCTCTCAACTCTACGACTCCGAAGCACGAACCTTGAAAAACAAGGTCGCTGCATGGAGAAACAAGTTGAGCGTGGTACTGCCAGGGACGTGGTGGGGATTGAACTTGAAACCACTTACTTATGAAGCAAGCACTCTACCACTACACTACACACACTACACTACACGCATTACAATTACAAGTTTTCCGAAAAATTAAATACCCAAATTGTTCTGAAAAAAAAATTCACTGCTAAAACACGGCACAAAAACTTTATAGATAAAGTTTGATAAAATTAAACGGCTGTATTTTGATGGACAACAAGATTTACAAAAAATTCAACTTCCTGGTGAAAAATATTATACTTCAATTTTTTGTGGCATAAGTTGAGACTTTGTAGCAAAAAAGCTCAATATACTAAATTGTCCACAATTCTGGCCCATTAAAAAATATTAAGGTATTGGGAAAGAATACTTTTGTAAAACAGACAAAAATATTAATTGAATACGAGATTTGACAAAGACATGGTCACCTATAAACAAGGAAATGACAGTAACAATTATGCTGAAGTGTTGTTAGAAAAATATTTTTAATTTTCAAAACGAGAAAATTTGCAGACATAAGAAGTTTTTATGCCTGCTATCTAGATGTTCTTATTAAGATGTTCTTATTAAGAGTTCTATCTAAATGTTCCTATTAAGAACATCTAGATAGAACTCTGAAATATTTAAAAAGTTGAAAAAGCTTTCCACTATAAGTTGGTTCATACATAATTATCAAAAGAGTCATTGATAATTATGAATCACTGTTGTAACTTTTGAAAGAATGTTACCCGGAAACATCCTATGATTACCCGGAAACATCCTATGATTACCCGGAAACATCATATAATTACCCGGAAACATCATATGATTACCCGGAAACATCCGATTATTTTAAGCCATTATATTTTGAAGCTCTCGACACAACTACTAATGTGATATTACCCGGAAACATCCTATGATTATTTTAAGTCAATATATTTTGAAGCTCTCGACACAACTACTAACGTGATATTAATGAAAATTAATATCACATTAGTTTTTGAAAGCTAATAATATGACTGATACATAATAGGAGTTCAAGAGTTTAGAATTTGATTACAACTTTTTTCAATCAGAGCTAAATAGAAAGATTTCAATCAGAGATTTGAAATAATCGAAATAGAAAGATTTCAATCAGAGATTTGAAATAATCGAAATAGAAAGATTTCAATCAGAGATTTGAAATAATCGAAATAGAAAGATTCAATCGCAGATTTCAATCAGAGCTAAATAGAAAGTAAGTTTCATCTCCAAACGACTATTTTCTATGCCAAATTTCTATGCCAATTGATTTAGTTGATTTATCATCCAAGGTCTTGGATGATAATCCAAATAATCAAACTACATCGGCTACACCAGAGCGTTTTTTTTAATGCAGAGAAGTTTTGAAATCTGGCTAAGATCAACAATGGGACAAAAAGATATTATTTCTTTTTAGTGCTGAATAAGTACATAGATTTGTCAAAATTCTATCTTTAATAGAAGTAGCCGAGGGATTTACTGCTGCCCAGGATAAGCAAAGGAATAAGTATTGATCAATTACTGCAAAAAGGTCTTCATTAGAGCTTCATTAGCGCAAAAAATATCCCCTCAAAAAAGTAATTATTTAAATTATAATCTAATGGCTTTTTTTTTATTTGTTTGATTATGAGTTTAGTTTAAAAACTAAATGATCCCACCAGTTTCCATGGTAATAATAATATTTTCTCATAGATAGATATATATGAAAGCAGAATTAAAAAAAAATATTTTGCACCAACTTGCTCTAGTTTAAAAGAGGACTTTTTGAAAATATTTTTATTTTTAAACATATTTTTATTCTTCCGTTTATAAGTAAGACTTGCATATTAAGTAAGGAACAATAGTCATTTGCTTAGATCACGAAAATAACACAGTTCCTATTTATAAAAAACTAGTGCTCAAGCAAATGGCGCTAATTATCGAACCTCAAAAACCAAAAAATGCAAGATTTGAAGGCATATCATTAGTGACATATGTTTTAAAAATTTATGATAAAAACTTGCGTATAAAATAATTAACATTGTATTCAGCGTGAAAAGAATACAATTAGTTCCTATTTTTCAAGAGTTAGAAATTTACTTAATTAAAGCACGTGTCATTTTTGTAGACTGAAGGGTCTATACATTTGACTCTTGATATCTCGAACTCTCAGAAGACCAGAAAAAAAGTTCGAGATATCAAGAGTTCGAGATATCGAGAGGATTTTGGTTCACACAAGTGCGCAAGGGACCGGAAATAAAGATCGAAAAAAACAAAAGTTCGAGATATAGAGTAGTCAAAATATTGAGTCAACTGTACCATGAAAGTATTATAATACTTTCATGGTACAGTTGACTCAATATCTTGACTACTCGATATCTCGAACTTTTGTGTACCTCGATTTTTATTTCCGTTTCCTTGCGCACTTGTTTGACCCAATAATTTCCGTAGGTCGCTCCTTCGGAACATTTATCGACTGTAAACGTTTCGGCCATAGAAATTTATCGTCGACAATTTTTAAAAATGTTTTATAACATTGAAAAAAATCATTTACGCCGATAAAATTTACCGCCGGTAGCATTTTACGCCGATAAAAAGTTTTAAAACGTTGACCAAAAATGTACTGATACAAATATTAAAAAAGCCCAAGTTAATAAGCAAAGTCTTTTTCAAACAGCTATTGTTTCGCTAAATTAACCGTCATGAAGGAAAATGTAAGGTAAAATAAGAAACCTTTTTGTACACATTACTGTAGACCCATACGTCTCCAGAATCAGAAGCAAACGGAAGAATCAATAAGAACCCGACGGGCATTTGTTTTTAAAAGTTACGATCTAAATGTATTTTAAATGTCTTTTAAACGTCTTTTAAACATTAATGTTTAAAAGACGTTTAAAAGACGTTTAAAACACATTTAGAACGTAACTTTTAAAAACAAATGCCCGTCGGGAAATGAGTATGAACTTTTTAAATCAGAAATGAATAGGCCAGTCAAGCTTGAGGTAAAGTTAGAAGTATAAAAAGACAACCCTGATATAACTATCATCTTTTTTTTAATCTAGATTTAGTCATGTTTGATGGTAAAAAGGTTAATGACTAACACTCTGTCCGTCCAAATGTTTAATGTTTGTAGAGCTAAGCCCAGTAAACTTAATAACCCAACATTGACCAGGCCTAAACCAATCAATGAAAAAGCATTATCTTTGAGCCTTTGTACTCTGCATTGCTGGTTCAGATCTTTTGAATATATTTTACATTTAGGGTATAAGTTAGACATTAAAAAATATGCTGAAAAAGCATTAGTAAAAACATAGAAAAAAAGAATTCAACAGAGATTTAGAGAGGTTATACATTTATCGGATATTCCCAAACAAGTCCAGCAAACATTGTTTTAGGGGATTTGCAGAAGACCAATATAGGCATTTTTTAGCGTTTTATTGAAGTTTTGCTCATTGGTTATATAGTAGACCATTTGTGGCAGCCGTTATCAATGGTAAGCCGATAATTTTGCAATATTTTTCATTCCACTGAAATTCTGCTATAGAATGTTTGCTGGGAGGTTTTGGCAATACTAATGATAAGAACACTGCCAGAAGGGCCTTTGAAAATGCTGAGACTTTTGCTAATATAACAGGAGTAGCAGTAGATGTAATTATTAGATTGAGGATAATCATAAAATCAATATGATCCTATTATAAGTTGAACTCTGAGAGTTTTGGCTAGTATTGGTATGAAACTACAGCTCCAATGTACAAAAATTTTACTGATATGTGATTTCCCCAAGTACTGAGACATTAGAACTGCCAATCTTTTACTATTCTAAAGAATCTCTAAAAGCTCTGAATAAGGAAATTCGCAAAGTTATATTGAACCATAGAGCCAAGATATCTACATACAGCCAAGATATCTAAAAAGAATGTGATGAACCAGCACCAACACCTCTTGATTAGAAGTAATCCTGTAATACCAAACATTTTTTTCAAAAAATACAATTTTGAAAATGGAAAACCACTTCCTCGGTAGTTTTTTCTTTCTATTTTTTAGTTTTAGATTTTTCTTTTTTTGTTTTATTTAAAGAAAAGTTAGATAAGATAAAACGGTATTTTGATTTTTTGAATCCAACTTTTTTTTTTAATTAGCAAATTTGCGCGTTTCGGTTGAAGGTATCTAAATTTTTTATACGCTTTAGGTACAGGCAAAATTTATTATAAAACTTGTTATTTTATGATATTTTAAGTCAAGGAATTTTATTTAAATCATATATTGCGGGCGTAAATAACATTCACAGACGTGATACGTTTTGTAAGTACGCGTAAAATTCTTTTTTAAATTTTTGACCCAAACTACGAAAGTATTGATGCATCACATGTTTATATACGATCAGTGCCGGATCAGGGAGGGGGGGGGGCTAGGGGGACTATAGCCCCGGGCCCCGCAAATTTAGGGGCCCCCAAAAATTTTAGAGGACTTTTTTATTTTTTTATTTTTTTTATTATTATTTTTTTTTTAAAAGTCATTTTTAGACTCTGCCCCATAAAAAGGCCTTTAAAAACATAAATAGCCCCGGGCCCCAAGAAGTCTTAATCCGCCACTGTATACGATAGTTATATCATGTTTGCCAATTTTCAACCTTTCCGACTCACGGTGAGCCGAGTCCCATAAATTAAGAGAATAATATAATATAAAAGAAAAGACATACATAGTTAAAGAATATCTTTTAAAAAACTATAAGCATTTGCCGCAATATTATTTTACTTGTAAAGGATTACAGCATTGCGTATATTAAAATAGTTTTCTTATCAGATCG